TAGTACCTGGGATCGAACTTGGGTCCTTACACTTGTGAGGCAGGTAGAGGAAGCACTGAGCTAAATCCCCAGCCCCCAGTAGTTCTCAGCATCTGAATGTGGACCTTTCTTTTCTGTCCGTGGCTGGCTGAGACCAAGGCAGAAAACCAGGATGGAAGGAAGGATATGGTGGTGGAAAGCTGGTCAAGGCAGACAGAAAGCAGAAAGCAGAGGAAAAGCCAGATCGGAAGGAAGGAGCAAGGGATGATGCATAACTTTCAAAGCCTTGTCTGCAGTGACATGCTTCCTCCACATAGACCCAGTCTCCTAATGAATCCATGCAGAAATGAGCCCATCAGTGGCTTAATTCATCCAGTGAGGTTAGAATCACTCAAAGGATGGATGAACGTGATCAGTGTGCGTTGTCTGCACAGATGGAAATACCACTGTGAATCCAATAATATGTACATTAAATGTATAAGAATCAAAATACACCTAAAAGAATGAAAAATACATAAGATGTTGGTACAGGCAATGGTTATTTGGTCAGGACCATAAAAGCACAAGAAATAATAACAAAATTGACAAATGTGATTATATCACAGTAAATAGCTTCTGAACAGCAAAGGAAACAATCAACATAGAGAAAGTACAACCTTTAAAATGGAAAAAAATGCTTAACATCTATCCATCTGACTAAAGATAAATATCTGTAATACATAAATAACTCAAAAAACTTACCAGCCATAAAATAAGTAATTAAATTAAAATGGGCAAATGCTATGAAGACTCTTCTCAAAGAAATACAATGGCCAGCAAATACATATATGAAAAAATGCTCAATATCATTAGCCATCAAGGAAATGCAAGTAAACACTACAATGAGACATCATCTAACTCCAGTATAAATTCTACAAACATATCCTTTAAATCAGCACTATTCTTCACAGCTACTTTTATGGTTGGACCTTAAACGTCCCCGAAAATCTCATGTGTTGGAGGCTCGGTTCCCAAAGCAGCAGTGTTCAGGGTTGGGGTCTTTGGATGTTGCTTGGACTACGAGGTCTCGCCTTGCCAATGGACTAACTCATTGATGGAGTCATAGCTAAATGGTGCACTGGGAGGTGACAGGAACTTTAGGAGGTGGGATGTAGCTGGGGGAAGTAATTACGGGTGTGTCTATGAAGGGTACCTTTTGTCTCTGGCTCCTTCCTCTTTCTTTGCTTATTGGTTGCTATGAGATGAGCAGCTTTCCCCACCACTCACTCCCACAACTATGTTCTTCTTCCTCACCACAAACCAGGAACACAGAGCCAAGTGACCATGGTCTGAAACCTCTGAAACTGTGAGCCAATAAAGCTTTCCTCCTTTAAATTGTTCATCTCAGGTATTTTGTCACAGCAACAGAAAGCTGACCATATCTCTGCTGGGAGATTCTTGAATTTTAATTGGCTTTTTAAAAAATTTAAATAGGAATAGTCTTTATGCTAAAATAATCAACAGACTCGAGAAACATGAAATGATTATTTCAACTATCATTGATAGTTTAGTCTAATGAGTATAAAAGTTAATGATCACCAAACATAAACCCTTGTTATTTAGAACAATATCAGTTTACTGTATCAGTACAAAGTGCAGAGTTCTATTTGAGAGATACTTAGGGCCAGGGATTTAGCTCAGTGGTGCTGCATCTGCCTGGCAAGGGCAAGGTCCTGAGTTCAATCCTCAATTTTTAAAAAAAGAAAAGAAAGAAAGAAAAAAAGAAGGATATACTTAACTGTATCATCATTGTTAGGTGTTTGTGTGGACATATGCATTGGTTTTTCTGCCATGCCAGACTGAAAGAGCTGAAACAAAGAGCCAAAAACTTTTTTCAAATTTACTTAGAAAATTATATTCCTAACATATAACTTGTATCAATATAGGACTTTAATAGAGACTTTATCAAAAGTTTTAGCCATTCATTACCACTATCACCCTGTTTTAAGTTATACCTGTATTCCTACACAGGCTTCTGCATTAAAAAATATGTAATAGTCAACATATAGAGTGACACACTCAACTGTAAACACGCAAAAAACATCCTAAGAAGATAAACTTCCTTTTGAAATCAAAGGGACAATGGTAATTCTTTTTTTTCACCAAGACAATTTTTATTTCCAGTGTTTAATTGGGTGTGCACACAGGCATGCAAAGGTTTGGATTCATTAAGTCCTCTGTTTCTTTTAAAGGACTATCCGGACATGAGAAAGGGGAATAAGAGAATTTCACTTCAAAATGAGATAGAAATGAGGATGAAGACATTCATAATTACCTAATTTTCTAGGCTAACTATCCAGGCAAGACTGGAATATTAGAGTACAATCTTTGAAGGAGAATTGGGAAAGCAGAGCTCAGAAAATCCAAACAAGTCCCTTAGGACTAATTCTAGTGTATGAGGAACCTGTTAATAATTATTTACCTTACCTCATTTGCACTTAAAGTAGACATGACATATACATATGTTCATTGCCATATAACAAGTGGAAAAAAAATATGAAGTAACTTACTTGTCCAGAGTTCCAGCTACTTGGTAGACACAGGGCTGAGGGCTCCAAAGCTTGTCTTCTTCCTCCTGCCCACAAACCTGAACTAAATGACTATTCACAGTGTTTGCAACAGTTGTGAACAAGGGAGGAGAGGCTGAAGAGCACCCTGTGCTGATTTCTAACCAGAACTGCCTGAGAAGGTCACGCTACCCTACTCTGAGCACAGCACAAAGATACTAAGAAGCCAAGGCAACATTTCTAGAGGAAACATTATGTACAAGTAAAGCAAAAAGAAAAGCAAACTGGCTCTGTTTAGTGATCCTTCACCTGATCTATCCTGAAAATTATCCCACTTTAGTACATAAATTTATCTCATTTTTCCTTGAAGTCATTAGGATCCTCTAATATAGTCAGTGTTCTATTATACTGCATGGCTCACTCAATTCTACAATATATGAATTTTTTGTATTTACCCAGCAGAAATTTAATGTTGGGCATTGCAATGATTTCCAATCCTTAACTGCAATCAACAGTGAGCATTTAAACTCTGGAAGAGAGGCTACTTCTCATCTTCTTCCCTTTATCTTCTCTCATAGTTGGTAGTAACTACAAACTCAAGGATTTCTATTCTCTGTATAACTGATGGGGTTTTGTTTTTTGTTTTGTTTGGTTTTTTGTATTGTTTTGTTTTTTTGACAAACCTGCGAAAGATCGAAAACTAGAGAGACAAAATAGCTTGCATTCAAAAGCCTAGTCACTAATGCATTAAAAAACAGAGATCTTTTTCTCACATAAATCTAGAGCCTGAGCTCTCAAAGTGCAGTCCTTGGCCCCCTGGTATCCCTAAGACTCTTTCAGGACACCCATGAGGTCAATGCCTTCCCTCTGATATAAGGGTGTTATTTGCCTTTTCCATTGTACTAAGATTTACACTGATGGTTCCGGAGCAGCCACCATCAGTGCAGAGCACAAAGTGCATTGGTCTTTGCATTATTCACCATATGTACTCTCAAAAGAAGTAAAAGTGTCCACAGCATACTTATATTGTACACGAGTATAAGAGTTGTCTTGAGGAAAGCAAGTACAGTGATAGATTGAGTCATGCAAAATAGTAACTCCTTTTTCTTGGATCATTTTTCACTATAAGAACAACTGACAAACACTGGTTATTTGGGCTTGGGGATTTCTAATATGGTCTCTTGAAAATGAAGTGTGGTTTATAACATCAAGAAAAAAAAACTGAGGGCTGGGGATTTAGCTCAGCAGTTCATTGGCCTGCCTTGCAAGCGCAAGGACCCGAGTTCAATACCCGGTACCAAAAAGAAAAAAAAAAAAAAAAAAAGGAAAAAAAAAAACTGGATGCAAGACAGTGGGATTGAGGCATCCAGCACCCACCTCCTCCTCCACAAAGAATATGAAAGTAGCCAGGTGGGGTGGTGCACGCCTGTAATCTCAGCACTCTGGGAGGCTGAGGCAGGAGGATCGCAAGTTTGAGCCAGCTTGAAGAATTTAGTGTCTTACCAAGTCTCTGTCTCAAAATAAAAAAAGGCTAGAGTTCAGTGTGAAAGTCCTGGGTTCAATCTCCAGTGCTGCAACCAAGAAAGGAAGGAAGGAAAAGGAAAAGAGAGGAGAGGAGAGGGAAGTCCAGAAAGGAACAAATGTACAGCTGCATTTTGAGATGAATGACCATGAGAGAACTCTGGAAATCAGCAAGACAGATTAGAAACCTGAAAGATTCTAAGATGTGGCTAATAGCATAGAAACCAAATAACCTGCCACCTTCCCTCTGCAACTCCTTCTGAGGTGGGGGACCCCCTCTTTGTCAGGGGAAACTCCATCACATGGATGCTGACGATCTTGAGACTGGAAATGTCAGTCTTCACAGGCCACTTAAATAACCTAACATCTGAGAAGTCCCCTGTCTCCTCACAGATGCCCAGCGTGCTATAGCCAGAAGCCACCTTGAGAAGGGAGCTATTGTGTCACTAGCAATCAGGACCCCTGAGAGCCCTGCCTCTGGGAACACACAGCTGCGGGCTCCACGGGTAGTGAGTGGCCTCCTCAGCCCAACTTTGCCTAGCAGAGTGATGGTGAACAGAGCCCTGAAGGTCCTGTGCTGGAGAAGAAGGAGAGCGGTGTGCTGCCCAAGAGAGCCAGGGCTCCAGGTGTTTCCCTCTGAGGCCAAGCATATGGCCAGCTCCCCGTGGACTTGCGCCAGTGCCAGCTCTAAAGGCAGCTGCTTGCTCAGCTCCTACTGCCCTACCCAACCCCACACTCTGGCAGCTGTTACTTCCTGGCTGGCTGGGAAGGCCAGGGTCCCCCAGATGCCCACGGCCATGCTGAGGTAGTCTCAAGCAATCTGTCCCTAGCTGTTCCCCAGGGTGGGCACACACAACAGCTGAAGTGTGAGGACCAAGTTTCCAGGTCATGATGGGCTCCAAACCCCTTACCCAGAATAGAGTAAATGCAAAAGTTCCTTTATGAGAAATTCCATTCTATGTGGCAGTTCCTCTGTGCTCTGACAATGGCAGTTCCTCTGACAATTATAGCAATTGCAGTTTCTCTGTGCTCCTGAACAGTTCCATTCCATGTGATAGTTTCCATTCTATGCTTCAGTTCCTCTTTTAGGGCATCTCCACACTGCTTCTGTTCCTCTTTTTATGACAAGCTTCTTTTTTGTGAATTAGTTATAACTGATATAGGAATTAATTTAGTTATATCTGATATAGGAATTAATTATAATGGACATAGATAGTCATATATCTTAGTTAGCAAAAAATCAGATAATCTAATGAAAAGAGGAATTCTTTGATGAAAAGAGGAATTAATTCTTTAATGAAAAGAGGAATTAATTGTCTACTGAAAAGAGGAATTCTCTAATGAAGGCCTTAGGTAACTTTCCAATATGTACCCTCCCAGCATCCCATGATAATTTTGCAAATGTAAGCATTAGGTCATGTTCCAGTGTGCCCTCCTGATGCCCCTTGATGATAAGGGAAAACTAAAAATAGCAACAGAAAAATCCTATATAAACTTGGTTCAAAATTGGATCTGGACTCTCAGTCTGAAGCTGCTGTGATGGTGACACCTGAGAGTCCAGGCTCGAGCTTGCAATAAACTCCTCTTGCAATTGCATTGGACCTGACTCCTTGGTGGTCTTTGGGGACTTCGAGACTTGGGCACAACAGAAGGAGTTGGGGCAAATAAAGCCAGGGTTCAGCCATAACCCTGCTGCAGCCAAAGATGGCCTAGAGGAGCTTTGCCGGCCAAAGTCCAGCTCCAGGGCATGCACTGCCACTAGCAGAGAGTACTTGCTGCCACCACCCTCCCCAACCTTGTCTGACAATGCGTTACTGCAAAACCTAGAGCATCCCCACAGAGGGCCATTCGGTTCCCATCCTGCAGTTCCCTGGGCCTGACCCATGGATAAGTGGGACAAGAGCTGGAGCCCTTGGTAGTAGAACAGCTGGTGACAACAACAGTGCCTGAGAAAACCCTCACCCTGATGGGGTCCACCACTCCTGCTGTAGCAGAAGCCACAGGGTGAGCACCAGATACCAACCACTGTACTCTGTCTGCAGCATCTTCACTCTTCATGGCCCACAGACACAGTGAGTTTCTTGATTCCACCCTAGACTGAGTATATTGTGTTTGGTCATTAACTGCAGCCCAAGAAGCTCTAGGGAGACTAAGCATAATGCCCAGCTGGAAAACAAGCCAACACTGCAGAGAGAACCAATATCCAAGACACATCTTGAGAAGAAAGCACTTACTAAGAAGGCCACCCCACAAAAGTGGTAGAGCTAGCTAATTCCCTAGATATGAAAATCTCAACACAAAAGCAAAAGACACATGAGAAAATAAGGTAATGGGATACCTCCAAAAGACCCTAGTAACACTCTATCAACACACAGTCCAGGAATGGAAATGAATGAACTGCCTGGGAAAGAATTTAAAAGAATGATTCTATGAAATCTCAGTGAGATCCAAGATGGGCAGTGAAATGAAATTAGGAGGGCAAAGCAGAAGATGAAGGAAAAGCAGAGATTATGAAAAGGAACCACAGAAATCATGGAAATGAATAACCCAATAAGTCAAATAAAAAGATAATTAGAAAGCTTTACAAAAGACTAGATCAGGTGGAATAAAGATGTTTGGACTGGAAGGCAACTCTTTTGGGACGTCCGGTCACCATCTGGTCAGGGACAGAGCCAGGGGTTCTGTGCAAGATGTCACCATGCGTGGACTTTGACCCTGCTCAGACCAAAGTTCTGTTTCAAGGGGTGAGCGAGGTGAAAGTTGGAATGAGGTTTCTCACCTCCAATAATCTACCACTCTAGAAACAGGATGGACAGCCGACTCAAAGTTAACTTAAAAAATCTGAAGTTTAAGAGTGACAAAAAAATTAAGTATAAGTAAAGAACACAAGGGTCAGAGAAAAGAATCGGAGCGGGAACCAGATGGGACTGGGGTAGGTTAGCCTGGCTTCATGGGCCAAATAAGAAAAAGAAAAAAAAAGAAAAAAACTAACTCAGCATCTGGCAGTTAGCAGTCACAGATTTGCTAGAATAAACAGACAGAGCTTTGTAGATGGTATGCCAGCAATAGGGGGCTAACATTACTATTGCTGATAAAGTTATTACACAACTATTAAGTCAAGAAATTCCACATTTGAGTGAATAATTTAAAGAAGAGAGGGTTATATTGATCAAGGCTTTTTTTGTTTTTTGTCTTGTTTTGCTTTTGGGTAGATACAGGGGATCGAACTCAGGTCGTTGCACTTGCAAGGCAGGTGGTGGAACCACTGAGCTAAACTCCTGGCCCTTGATCAAGGTTTTGAAATGTTTAATTAACTGATAACACACCATAAATAAACAAAAGCATAATTTAAATTCTGGAAAGAGAACATGGGTGAAATATTGGGGCCAGGAATGTAGAAATGGGACACTAACGTCAAAGAGTTACTGAAAGGCACTGCACTGCAGAACACCAAGGCCACAGGTAAACATGAGTTTAAGAGAATCAGGAGGGAAGGAAGACAGTGAGAGGGCATGAAATGCAGAAACAGCTAGAATGGACAGAAACAGTGGATCCACAAATGGGTGGAAGAGAAGTTCCAGAAGGTAAAATCAACACAATGAAATGCAACAAACCATCACGGGCTTTTAGCCACTGGA